ATCTTGGTTGCCTTTAGTTTAACTGTTGAGATGTTTGTTTACCTCATATGCTATGTACTGTTTAATCCTTTGGACAGGTTCTGCCCTTTCTACTTTTTTCCTTTTCCTCTAAAAGATGCATGGCTGGAGGAATCTAAAACAATTGAAAGTGTCCTTGAGAAAAACAGGATTTAAAGGCAGGTAAAAGGCTGATGTTGAATACGACTTCAGTCTATAAAAGATGAAGAGAATGTAGCTCCCAGTATCTCATTTTCTGTGGCTAAATAGGCAGAAGACATCACTGGCATGACTTCAGCAAACTCATAAGCTACCTACCACAGTAATGAAATACCAAAGTTAAAAAAAAATTAAAATAAATAAATAAAGACAGCTTAAACCTGTATTTCTGACCTAGGAAAATCCCGTTGATCTCACAGATTGCAAATCCTGGCCCATGTCTACCCAGGCTATTCGAGCCCAAACCAGATGGATCATTGCTTATTGTCAGCCTTAAAATTTCAGGTGTTTCGTAAAAAAATAATAATAAAAAAATCATACCTTTAGCTAGAGATAGAGGAGTTTCAGTATCTCCTGGACAACAAACTGCTTCTGGACTTCAGAAACTTGATGCAGTGCAACCACATGTTCCTTCAACAGACATGACTGTGCAATGTGTTCTGCAATTTAGCCCCTAAGGCACAACCTTCCTGTGCTTTTTTTTTGCATGTAACTTTGGCAGCAGATGCGGGGCACAATTCCTTGGCAGAATTAGACTTGTAAGACACATCACTACATTAGCAAATGGAGCCTGATTGTGTGTGTGTGTTTCTAAGGAGCACAGTGTCATCTCTTTTAGTCCCAGCCCGCGCTGCATCAAGCTGAGTGCACACTGGGAACACTTTCTCTGAGGGCACAGACCTCCGAATAGATAAGCAGTGCTGCTCCCTGACAGCCAAGGTTTGAGCCATTTGGTTAGAATATATGACAGGGTTCAGGAATATTTCCAAACCTGTCGTTGCTTTAGTGCAGGGAAGATGTGCAAATCCTCTGCACTGTCAGCCTAGGACACCCTGTTTTCTCTGAGGTAAAAATAAACCCTTTTTCAGCCTTGGTGAAGTTGTCAGGACAATTTATGAGCAAAAAGCAAGAGGAATTTGGAAGTCATGGCTGCTCAGACTGAGTTTTTTGGGTTTCCCCCCCAACCTCTAGTGATAGAAGGGAAATACTGAAGGTGTTTTGTGTCAGAGCCAGCATGTATGCACCAAACACACCTCACGGCGCCTTGTGAACGGCCAGATTTTCTGGCTACAAAATGCCCCCTGAGTGTGATTGAGCCTGGGGGAAGGGGCTCCCACCAGCCCGGCCAAAGGGACCGGGAGGGCCGCGAACCCGCGGCCCCGCGGGGAGCGCTGAGGCGGCGGGAGGAGCGACCGCGGGATGCGGGGAGC